AGGTAGGGAATGAAATAGATATGAAATTGCCCAGGCAGGGATATGAAATTATGCAGGAAGGGATATGAAATTGCCTAAGGCAAGAAATGAAATGAATATGAAGTAGCCCAGGCAGGGATATGAGATTGCCCAGGCAAGGATATGAAATTACCCAGGCAGGGATATGAAATTGCCTAAGGCAAGAAATGAAATGAATATGAAGTAGCCCAGGCAGGGATATGAAATTGCCTAAGGCAAGAAATGAAATGAATATGAAGTAGCCCAGGCAGGGATATAAGATTGCAAAGGCAAGGATATGAAATAGCCCAAGGTAGGGAATGAAATAGATATGAAATTGCCCAGGCAGGGATATGAAATTATGCAGGAAGGGATATGAAATTGTCCAGGCAGGGATATGAAATGAATATGAAGTAGCCCAGGCAAGGATATGAAAAGGCAATGAAATAAGGCTGGGTAGGCAATGAAATTAAAAGTCAGGCAAGAATGAAATAGCAATGAAACAATGCTGGGTAGACAATGAAATGGAAGGCCAGGCAGTAATGAAATTGCAATGAAGTAGTATTGAAATATGTCTCAGGACAGTTATGAAATAGTCATGAGAAGCACTGGTAAAGAAATGAAATACATTTCATAAGTTTTGCCTACTCTTCTCATTTCATAAATTCATTAGTCAGTGTGGATGTCAGTGTGCAGGCACTTGCCTGTATTTTATCATAAAAGTGGTAGCTACTAGTGGCCGTGGTGCAGCCTCACCCAGGAATGACGCTTTGGTCGAAAGGTGTCGGGAAGAGTGAAGATGGAGGGGTTAGGATCCGGGATGTTGAAAGTCTTTGAGGCCAGCACGTTTGATATGCCGTTACAGACTTCGCAAATCATTTCTTTAGAACCACCTTCGAAAAAGACTCTGCCGGGTAGTGCCTTCCAACCAAAGACCGCTGGGGGTCGTAAGTGTGCAGAAAACCTCTCATCCATGAGGCGCCGATGGATTCGAAAGACTATCTGCTCCTCATAACCAGGCTAAGTATAAAAGTTATTACAAAAATAACCCGAAGATGGGGTTACTTTTACCTTGACGACCACCGCCCATAAAGACACCTTTCCAATATCTTGGACATCTTCCCCAATATCTTGATGAGACGTGACGCGCTCGAGAAAGCATTCCCAAAAGGCGTCGTCATCAGACGGCATCAACGCTTCACGGAGAAGGTTTCGGTGTGCATCTCCCGAAATCGCCTCGTCAATGTCTTCATCGTCGTCGATAAGATCGTCTTTGAAAGAATTAGCACTGTACCAACTACAATTACAATCTATAATACACACCTTCATCACCGTCATTCTGATCGTCGGTCTCAGCCTCTGATACTTCAGCTTCGAGATCTAGGAATCCAAGGACTTCTGGCGGCTATAGCGTGATTAGCTTGATACGAAATCTCACAAAAATGAAAAGAACTTGCCTCAAGTTTTCTACGTTTCATTGGTCTCTCATTGTGTTTTGATGCCATGATTTCGTATTTACTAGCTATGCACAAACATTTCTATCTGTTAGAGTCTACAATCTTATCACGTTCGGCATTTTAGGCTGTAAAGCGTCAAGTTATCTGTAACGTGTTAGTAGACAAGACATTCATTGGACACCAATCGAAACAACTGTTACATTAATTCCAATAGAAACACATGCTGTAAAGCCTCAAGTTAGGTATCTGTGATGTGTTATTAGATGAGACATTCACCGATTGAATTAACTGTTACATGAATTCCAATAAAAACACGCGCTAATGGCATGTGAGGTATGGTTCTGTATAAAATACTAAACAACAGCTCTATCGCTGTAAATCACCCAGCTTCCTTAATGGCCCGAGGTAGAGGCAGACAACCGACACAGCAGCCAGCACCTCCTCGTACAGGTGGCCGTAGAGCAGCACCAGTCAACTTTCGTGAAGATCCCGGTTCTGGAGAAGAGTTCGACTTCACCGGCGTGGACGAACATTCTCCCGATGGAGATGTACCGGATGCACCATGACCAGTCTCTCCTCCCATTAGTGTTGAGCCTGTAGCTGGCTCTGCTACCTCCACTCGACGTGCAACGCCTTTGGAGCAACCCTCAGAATCTTCACGGAGCCGAACGGCCCCTGATATCGATTATTTCTATATACGTGGATCGAAGGTTGCCCCAGTGACCAGAACTCTATGCAAGACATGCAAGTATGTGGCCCTCCATAATTACATATGTTGTACTGACAAGGATTGTTGTTTAGGGCGAATGGGATAGACTTACGCCAGGGTGCAGGTAGTTTCTCAGTGTCCACCTCAAATAACCCATTGCGCAACCACCTCCTAAGCCGCCACAAGGATATTTATCTCCAGAAGTGTCGTGAAATGCGATGGAAAGTCCCTGCACTCAAGAGCGAAACTGGAACACCCCCTGCGTCCGGACGTGGAACGCAACGTTCTCCCTTTTCCCAGAACGCATTTTTACAGTATCTTCTGAACTTCATCGTTGCGAATGATCAGGTTAGTAAAGCACGCTTTTAATGTTTGGTATTAGTCTAAACTTCTTCATAGTCTATATACGTCGTTGAATGCCCAGAATTTCGACAGCTCCTCTTGCTTTTACGTGAGGACCTCGAGGACAAAGACATTCCCCACCGAACAATGATGCGCAAACTTATTATCAAGGCATGGGAGGCGTATTTCAAGGTCCTAAAACAGGAATTAGCAGTATGTTGTTTCGGTTGACCACTTTGTTTCCTTGTATTCACCAATCACTCTAGGATGCACCAGGGCGAATTTCCTACACGGTGGATATCTGGTCAACAAAAGCTCAGTACCCATACCTGGCCATTACCACACATTGGATACATAGAGACAAGTCTACCAAAGGTCTTCAGCTGCGTTCTACACTCATCGCATTTCACCGTCTTCGAGGAAGCCACAATGGGAATAGGCTAGCAAGGATTGTCCTCCATCTCTTGGATCGAGTTGGGATCACGGTCAAGGCATGTCTACGTTTCATTTTGTTACCCTTTTCTACTTTATGCTTACATGGACAGGGAGGCCATTGGACCCTTGATAACTGCTCGCTCAACGATGCCTTCCTCAAAGAACTTGAGATACTTCTACGCCCTCGCGAAGTTGAGTTCAATCACAAGGAAAATCATATACGATGTTTCCCACACATTACCAACATATGTTCAACTCATGTCATCGAAGCCTTTACTAACATCGCCCTGGTAGATGATACAGGGGGATTCATCGCATCCGCATCAGGCCCTCCAAGTGATCCTGATAATCAGACTTATGAAGAAGCGGTTGTTCGCGACCCAATCGCATTGTGCCAGAGTACCGTACGAGCAGTACACGCCTCAGGTCAACGACGTGAGCACCTGGCGGAAGTAATAGACGATGGAAACAAGAAAGGGTGGTTCAAGTCAACTGAGGATCCGACCGTGACTATCCAAGTTAAGCAGGCGCAACTTGTCGTGGGACTCTCTTTATTTCATGATCAATCGGTTTCGTAAACTACGCCTGGTATGTTTGAACTCTATCGTTTTATAAGTGTATACTTATAAAAATAGGCCGTCGAGCATTTTCTTTCTTTGCCCATCAATAGAGATCTTGCGAAACTTAGACTTACTTATATGGAATGGGCTGTACTCCAGGATTTTGAGATCGTACTGGGTGTACGTCTCTAATATTGATACCTGTTCGAGGCTAAGTCTTTCTCTTAGGTACCCCATCAAGTACAGACAGACACTCATGTCGAAAGAGCACACTCCCGTTTTATCAGGCGCAATTCCCGCCTTCGAAATGTTCATGACAGCATGGGAGCAACTTGGGAGAGATCACCCCTGCTTGGCCCGATGGATGGATATCGGTATCCAGTGGGCGACAACTTACTACAAGAAAATGGATGATTCGCCTGCCTACGTTATCGCGATATGTGAGTTAAGGTTCAGATTCATACATTATTTAATAACTTGACATGGCCAGTTCTCAATCCCTCGATACAATTGTCATGGATTCGACGACACTGGGAGCCTAATTATGTTGCCAGGGCCATCGTAATTATCAAGAATACTGTAAGTCGCTCAGTTTGTTATGGTGACAGTACCCTTAATATACTTGTTGCAGATGCGAAAATACCATGACCATCTTCATGGACAAGCTCAACAACCTACATCTAGTACGGACTCACAGCAACAGAGGCGAAGCTGGCATGATTTAGCTGGACGATATGGGCTCGAAGATATGTTGGAGGTTTCGGGCGCTCCTTCGCCGTCGGGCCAAGGAGTTGAAGAACAGTTTGAGTTGTATGGAAATGGGACGGTCTCACCGCGTGGCACGGATATTATAGGGTTTTGGGCAGTAAGTACAATGTCTCACTATTTTCCAATCTGCGTCACTGATTTGTTTGCAGATAAGCGAGGAAACCCATCAAATATTGTACACGATGGCATTAGATTACTTACCCATTCAAGCATCCTCGGTTCCTTCCGAGTGCGTTTTTTCATCCAGTGCCGAAACTGATACGAAGAGGCGAAATCGAATTCACCCTGTTCTAATGGAGGCACTTCAAATGTTGAAATTTTCGCTCAAGCAGCAACGGCTTAACTTTACGGAGGGTTGGGCTGTTACAGAAGATGAACTCGAATACCATGCAGATGACAACGAAGATTTAGCAGATTTGTTAGGGAAGCTAACTTTGGAGATTAGGGAGGATGGTATAGATATTGATGAGGTAATTCACGTTGTTGGACAGGATGACGATGATTGAGAGGGCTATTTTTTGTTCACTGTAATGTATGCAACCTTACATACCATCACGCTGTACATCTATGTTGAATTTTATTACACATTTACGCTCACTGTACTTAATGCGCGAGTCATCAATTGCGGCAACATTTACCAGCTATAACCGGCTCAAAACCATTGGCTAAGCTGAGCCGAACCGGATTTGATCAGCTCCCAAGCAATCACAAACCAGAACCGGCAAAAGCCACCGTTTCAGCGAGCTGGCTTGCGGCTAGCCGAGCCGCGGCAACACTACCTGCATCCATTCCATCCAACAGATCCAAGCTTTTGTGATCTCTGAATACATTGTAGAAGATGTGGGGGGAAGTGTTAATCAATGTTATACATCTTCAAATACTTGCTAGAAGGAACGGGTGCAAGTATTAATTAACGAAAGGAAAGATGCTGCCACAAGTATTGAAAAATGTGATGGATCTCCGGATACTTTGTAGAAGCTGCAGGAGCAAGTATTCATAAATGTAATTAAAAAACTAAGGCCCATCATCCATTCCATCCGACACCTTAAGTACAGCTCCTGAACTCACACCCTTGGATTGAAGTTGAACAGCCTTTTTCTTGAGGCTGATCATAAAGAAGTTGGTCCTCCACATCACATGAGAGCAGATCTGCAGCAAAATGTCCCGAGCCCTCACCACTTCCTCATATTCCCGAGTTGAAGGATCTCGATGTTGAGCCAGAGAATCTCCTCGCGTGCTCTCTTTAACTTGAAATGCTGGTCCATTAAAATGCGAGAGGCCGGTTTGGCCCATACTTTAAGGCAGACATCCGAGTGCATATCTGAAAGCAAGTCGAAGTCAGCCAGGAACACGTACTCAACGACGTCATCCCATGACAAAGGCAGTCATGGGGGGACCAGAGCTTGCGGCCTGTGAACGTGCCTTGAGGGCATTTCCGATGTGCTTCCGAAGCTTATACCCTGTCAGCTCAAATTAGATAGATGTATAGTCAAAAGAAAAAAACAGACCGGTTTGTGACATGTTCATCTTGGTCAGTTCGAACATCTTCGCAACGATTAGGCCTTCAAGGGCATCAAGGCACCTCTGATACCTCCGCCTGCCCACCATCACTACGGCCTGCTTCCATTCCACGTCGAGTCAGCAGCAAGGAGAAGAAGGGCCAGGCAACGTACTAAGGTTTTGGTAGGTTTCGTTTTGATCCATGTGCTTGGCAAACTTGACGATCTTTTGTTTCAAATGGAGGAGGCAAGGGCATTCGATTTGGAGAAAAAACGCTCACCGCCCTCGAGATCCTCGAGGCCCAAGCCCTTGATATAGGTTGCCAGGAAGAGAAGTTGGCAAAGGCGGTTGTGGGCGTGCCCGTGGAAGCTGCCAACCAATGCCCGGTATCTAAGTTCTTGGGTGCGACATCTGAGAGGGCTGCGTCCCAGCGTGATCCTGAACTTGCAGCCAATGTCGTATCTGCCCCCAATCATCCACTGCAGCACGATGTCTCTTTCCCAAAGATCAACAGTCTCTCGGTCGATGTAATATCCTGGTTCTACAGTCTGCTCATCCTTGCGTTCACTTGGCTCTCCCATAACAGGTGCATCTCCATCTCCTGGATCAACAGGTGCAGCTTTTCGACGTTGGACGTGTTTGAGTTCCCGTCCATGGTGATAAGCATGTCAAAGATGAGCTTGGGCTCATCGACAAGCTTGTGCGTGCAACATGGACAGGCATGACAAAGCCTCCATCCTGGATCATCGCGCTTGAGTGTGATCTCAATGCGTCGATTAACGCAGTTGCGAATGGAGAGGTAGACGTCGAAGCAATTAGGGAATTGCTTGCGAAGATAGGGATGGAAGGGGGTGCCATGAAGATCACAAAATGCCTTGACAAAGGCGTGGATTGAAAGATGGGGGCATCGAAGGCTGGCGTTGTGGTATAGCTCATTCCATATGGACTCCAACACCACTCCATATGGATTCCAATGGATTCCATATGGAATGCAGGCATATCCACATTGAACTTCATGGAGCAGTCCATATGGATTCCATGGAAGACCATTGTACCATTAGAATACAGTATTTATAGTGTCCTTACTATATTTAAGTAAAAAAATAATTTTTGCACCAGTGAGAATTGAACCCTCAACATCGTCAACAAGAGTAGTGCTCAATCCAACTGAGCTATAAGGGCTTTGTTATATAGTAAAGTAAAGGTAACTATATACTGCCCTCGGGCACATGGCATCTCACGCATGACAGCTGTGGCTGAAGTGCTGCCACGCCGTTTCTTCCTTCCCCACCACCACCATCTACCACCCATCACCACCGCAAGCACCCACCACATCGACAACGACGATGTTGACGACACGCGACGACGCTGACGACACACAACGACACACAACCTTGTCACCCGACCACAATGACGAGCGCCGAGGAGGTGAGACAACGTGGCAGATGTGCCACGTCGTCCAGACAGTGACGACGCAAGCCGTCGTCACTGTCCATGCCAGGTAAGTGCACCCAGCACCGTTCTTTCCCCATCCCATCTCACACCCGATGCAGGTGCCACGTCGCTATCCTGCGACGTGGCAACGATTCAACCGATGACTCACCAATATGCGACATGACAAAACGGCACAACAACAACAGGACGACACCAACGGGGACGAGGACGGTGCCACCAACACGACGCGAGAGCGACCCCGCATCAGCGAACACACCCAACGAGCCCCAGCACAACCAACCACGACCCAGCGCCCACAAACGGCAACCAGAGCCCGACTGGTAGCTACCACTTACATCATGTACTCCTGAGCTGTACCATAGAAGTTCCTGCTTAGCTACCGTGAATGAAATGAAATGAATTTTCATTCATTCACGGCACCTGTTTCATTCTAGATAATTTATTCTGTTTCATTCATTCCTGGCGACTGTTTCATTTTTTTCTTTCATTCCACCAGGGCAACTGTTTCATTCCTTGCTTCATTCTTCTCAGGTGCCTATTTCATTGTTAGAGCTGGGAGAATGATTATGTAATTGACACAAAATATTTAAGTGCCTTATTTGGCAACAGCATGCCTATCTCATTGTGTATTTGAGCCTCAAATGCAAAAGTACCCCCATATGGCCTCCCACACCACTGCAGTAGGGCACAACACATATCAGGCATAATTGTATATTATTTCCTTATTTAGATGTGTGTTAAAACATCGAAATTGTTGCCTGAAAGAATGAAACAAAAATGAAATAACTGCCTGGAAAGAATGAAATGAAAATTCCATGGCAATGAATGAATGAAAAAAATGAAACAGTTGCCAGGAATGAATGAAACGAAAGAATAAAGCAAAAAATGAAACAGTTGCCATGGTGGAATGAAATTAAAAAAATGAAAGAGTCGCCAGGCATGAATGAAACAGAATAAATTGCATTCTTGTCAGTAGAAATGAAGAAAAAATTGAGATGAAATGAAATGAAACAAAAAGTATTTCATTCTCGACAGCAATGAATGAGAATGACTTGGAATGAAACAGGTGCCGTGAATGAATGAAAATTCATTTCATTTCATTCACGGTAGTTAAGCAGGAACTTCTATGGTACATGCCAGGTTTTACATGATGTAAATGGCAGCTACTAGTGAGAGCCCAGCGCCCACACACGACGACCCAGCGCCCACACAGGGCCACGTCACCAATGCGAGCGTCCACGAACGACAACAAACGCCCACGAAAACAACACCACGGCAGCCCAGCGCCCATGAACGACATTCGGCACCAACAAAGGACGACACAGCGCCCAAAAACGAGAACGCGCCCGCGAACGACAACGCCCTGGGACAGCAACGACCCCCCGACTCGCAGACGACGCAACGACCACCACAACGCCTGAGCGCCCACGACGACCCCCGCTTATTAACGGAGACGAAAGTGAACGGACACGGGCAATGACGAGCCCAGGTGAGCTCCCCATCCCTCCATCATTCCACCCTACTCCCTCCCCCTCCATCCCCCTCCTCCCATTGCTCCCTTTCCCCTTGCTCTCCTTCCCATTGCTCCCCCTCCCATTTCCCTCCTTCCCTTCTCCCCTTGCTCTCCTTCCCTTTGTTCCCCCCTCCCTCCAGTGCCCCCCTCCTTACCACTCTCCCCCTCCTCACTCTCCACCACACCCACTCCTCTCCCTCACTTCCCCCTCCCTCTGCCTCTCCCTTCAATATCTAATGTAGTAAAATAAATATATGTAGTCCTATTCAATACAATTTAATTTTTCTTGAGCAGTTATTAGTATGAATAAGTGTAGAAGTGTAATTCCCAACTTGACAACCTTTCAAACAGCCAGCCCACTTGCTAAATTGGAACTTAGCATGGATTCCAACTGGAAATTGTATGGAATCCATCTCAAAAAAGTATGGAATCCATCTTAAAAAAGTATGGAATCCATCTGGAAAAAGCATGGATTCCAACAACCAAAGTATAGATTCCATCAACCATTCCATGGAATCCATCTGGGGAAAGTATGGAATCCATCAGCCATTCCATGGACTCCATCGACCATTCCATGGAATCCATCTGGGGGAAGTGTGGATTCCATCCAGTCCATATGGAATAACTCGGGGAGGGTAAAGTATTGTGTCCTTACTATATTTAAGTAAGATAATAATTTTTACACCTAGAGGAATTGAACTCTCAACCTCATGAATCTAAGCAGCACTCAAGCCAACTGAGCCATGAAGGCATTATCATATGGAAAACTAAAGGTATCTATATTAGGGACTGTCATGGATTGATTTTTCAGGGAGAGTAATCAACAACTGGTACATTTAGAAAATTGTCACCATGTTTAAGTAGGAAGCAATCACAGAACAGAGTCAAAATGACTCTTCTACCATGGGTGATGGGGGCAGTGCAATGGACAAGGATTTTTGTCATCATAGCTAGAGCTTGACCTGGTTGCACTGGAATCTTGACACTGAATTCTCCCCCAGTCCAATCCCCAAGTGGGATAATCTATGAGATGGAATGGTAATTGTCATGGAAGTCAAGGTGAGGCACCTCTGAGGAACCTTCATTTGCCGCAACAGTAAAAAAAACTCCCCCAAAATCCAGAGCAGGTCGGGCCTTGAGCTGTGTGTGAAGGAGGATTCAGACCTGTTTGTAGGCCCTACAGTCAACCAATTATTCACCAATCATAATTCACTTGAATAATGCAGATTTTTACCTTTCTTGATGGGAGTATTGGAGAGGGAAGTATTGTTCCAGTAAGTTTCTCAGCCTTGGTGCGATAAGTTGCCCAACAAGGGACAAGAACAGGTACATTGCCACAATGACCTCAGGTAGTTGGTTGTGAGAGTCGCCTGTAATGATTGGGAGGAGCCTATAAGTTTCCCAGACACCTAGATGTAATGCAGCCAAAGCCTTCAAACATTGTGGCTTAACTTTGGGATACTTGACTTTCAATAAGCTCATAGAGTCCCACCTATTGAGAAGTGCTGTTTGGTCAGGAACTTTGAGCACGTCATGAAAACATGTTGCCAGGTACGGAGGGTGCTGAGGATCAAGTTGATCATGAGAAAGTGATGGGTAGAACAGCCTCCCTTCCTCAGGCTCCATTCATAGTTGGTCGACACTGAGGTTTGGAAATGTTTGTAGAAATCTAGACCTAGATCACATGATGAGGGGTCAATCTAGGTAAAGTGAGTAAGTGTGTAGTAGTTGGTAAATAGAGTGGCTCACCTCAGTCTCAGTATAACAGACTGAGGTGCATGTAAGCTAATGTATAGTATATACACTAGATGGAATAAAGGGTGAGCTAAGCATAAAGAGAGATAAAGAAAGAGAGAGAGAAATAAATAAATAAAGGTCCAAGAACAAATGTGTTCATGGTGTCATAATAATCACAACACTGCTCCTCACCCTGAACACTCCTCCTCGCATGGAGTCTAGTGCTGTTTGATGCCCAAGAATTCATGGAATCAAGTGAATTTCTTGGTGTTGAGGGCTTTAGTGAATATATCGGCCATATTGTCATGGGTATTGATGTAATTTAGGATGATTTCTTGGGATTGGACGCACTTGTATAGGAAATGGTGTTTGATATTGATGTGTTTGACACAGTCATGTAGCATTGGATCTTCAGAGAGGTTTATTGCTGTGTTGTTGTCACATAGGATCATAGTTGGTTTTTCAGGTTGGCATCCAATAGTGCCTAAAAGTGTCCGAAGCCAGATCACTTCCTTGGATGCTTCAAATGCGGTGCTGTACTCTGCTTCACATGATGAGGCCGCTACAGTTTTTTGTTTGCGAGCTTGCCAAGAGATAACACTGGATTTGAGGGTATAAGTGTGTCCTCCGATGCTTCGTCTTGTGTTGAGACAGTTTGCCCAATTGGAATCGGTAAAACCAACTAACAATATGGGGTTGCTGCTGCCTAAAGAGAGTTTGTAGTCACAAGTCCCAGAGAGGTAACATACAACATGCAGTGCTGCGTTCCAGTGTGCGTATGTGTAGCAATCCAGATATTGGGATGGTTGCTGAACTGAGTAGGTGATGTCGGGGTGTGTGCCTATGGATAAGTAGAGCAGGCAACTGACCAATGACCCATATGGTAGTTTCTGAATGTCTTTCAGTTCATTTTGTGTGAGCTTTTTATAGTTGGCACGTTGAAGTTTCAGTCCCAGGTCCATAGGGATCATGGTTGGGGAAGTGTTCTTCTGACCAAATTGCACAACTATTTTGTTGATGAGTGCAGTTTGTGATAATTTAACAGTGCGGTTGGGTCGATCCCATGTGATGGTGATTCCAATGACAAAGTGGACTGCACTGAGGTCAGATATTGTCCAGATGTTATGCATCTGGTTCTTGAAGAGTTCATTTTCGTCTTTGTTGGTCAAGTCATCCACATGTACGGCGGTGACAATTGTTCCACTATCAGCAGTCCTGTAATAAATGCAGGACTCACATGAGAGACAAGTAAATCCCGAAGAAAGCATCTGCTTGTTCATGGTTTGATTCCATATTCTCCCACTTTGCTTCATGCTGTATAGTCCCTATGAGGTTGTTTTCATCTAGTCCTTCCCAAAAATTGTTCAAAACCTAAGAATACGACGCGCACCTTCCACCTTACAGCTTTGCTGAGTTCATCCCTTTTGTTATGGAAAACAGGTTTTCCTTTTCGAATTTTTCAGCCTTGAGGGACGTCACATCAAAGAACCAGTTTGTAGATGCCCATGTCTCATAGGGACTTGAGTTCATCCCAGTAGCCTTCCTCCAGCCAGTACATCCAGAATTATGTACCAGATATAGTCTATTGACTAAGTCTACCTATGCATCACAGCATTCAATTGACCAACCTTCCTAATCAGGAAGGTAGCCTTGCTGAGCTCCCTAGAGCCAGCCTTGGTGCTCACTGATTCCCATGGCTTGCTCACTGTTTTCAGGGTCCAAAAGCACACTTCCAAATGTGGTTGTTTTCAGGGTCCAGGGCGCATTGCCAAATATGGAAATGTGTGCTTATCTAAAGGAAAAATAGCAATAAAATAGCAGAAAAATAAGAAAAAAAAATGGGGGATGGTGGTTATGATGGTAGGTTGTTTTCAGGGTCCAGGGGATGTCCAAATATGGTAATTTATCCAAACATGGCCAGAAAATACCCCGAAAAATCAGGAAAAATTAGGGGATGGGGTGATGATGTTATCTTGTTTTCAGGGTCCAGGGGCTATGTCCAAATATGGTAATCAATCCAAAAATGGCCAGAAAATACCCGAAAAATCAGGAAAAATTGGAGGATGGTAATGAT